ACTCAGCTGTAGGCAAACAAAAGGCCCGTTTAAAGTGTGCTCTCTGGGCCCAGAAGGGCAGAGGCGCTTCCTCAGCAGAAGCACGGGCGCACTGAGATGGATCGCCAGGCGCACTGAGATGGATCGCCAGAGAAACGGGGATTCTGATGCAGGACTGGAGTGCCCTGGATCACGGCCACTGCCCCAGGAGGCCGAGGAGTCCATATTGCAAGCCTAAAGGCAAGTTGTTTGGGAAGAGACGGAGACAAAGCACATTGTCTAACATGGACGCTATCTTGTCAGGCAACGGACAATCTGGATGAAAGGAATGGAAGGGTGAACAAAGATCGAGGGTCCGGTGGAAGGAAGTCAGGCTCTCGAAAAAGCACCTTCTCCACATATTTTTGACTCCACTAAGCTGACCCCCCAGGGGCGCCTCCTGGCTGACCTGAATCCCCTGGGACTGGAGATGCCGACATATGCTGGGCTGGCCCCTTCATGACCTCCTTTTCTCCCATAGACCCTTGGTGTTGCTCCATCTTCTCATCTCCAGCAGGAATTACTAAAGAACTCCTCTTGACCTAGCTACTTTTGTGGCTTCTCTGCTTCTCTGTCCCTATTGGTATTGGTAAAGCCAGAGCAAACACTTATTCCCCCTCCCTTCAACCCAACCCAACAAGCCTTTGTCACCCACCTCTCCTGTGCCAGGCATTGTGGCCAGCCTGGAGATACACAGGGAAAGAAACCATCCCGGTCTCACGCAGTTTAAGTCTATCGGGGAAAGGAGACCAGCGCCTTACTGCTCCTGTTCCACCCCTCCAAAGCTTCGGGACCCCAATTGGGGTTTTCTTGGCAGATATTGGAGTGGTTTGCCACTTCCTTCTCCAGGCGAGGAAACCGAGACAAACAGGGTGAAGGGACTTGCCCAGGGTCACACATTTAGTAAGTGTCTGAGACCGGATTTGAACGCAGGAAGACGAGTCTTCCTGAGCCGGGCCAAGCTTTGTGCAGTGTGGAGCCCCCTAGCTGCCCTAACCTGCACCTAGGTAGTAACTATAAAGTAATGGGGGAAAGGAATGATGGCAGCCTCTGCAGGGCATTGTAGGTGCCTCAGCTGAGCCTAGAAGGCAGGGGAGAATTTCAGGAGGCAGAAGGAAGGAGGGGGCGTGGGGAACTGCACAGAGGCCAGGGACATGAAAGGAAATCATGTGAGTGGGTCTGGAAAGGTGGCTGGGAGCCCCCGGCCAGTGAAGAGCTCTGAAGGGCAGACAGAAGGGATGGGGGTTTGATCCTGGAGGCAACAGTCCCTGGAGCTCATGAAGCCAGGGGTGACATGGGCAGAGCTGAGCCTTAGGAAATCACATGGAGGAGAACTGAAGAGCCTGGGGTCAGAGAGACCAAGGAGCATCAGCCAGGCTGGGCCAGGCACTGTCAGTCCATCTATCATGGAGGCGCCCATGAGGGCCGTTGCCTATCACGGTAATCTCTCTGAATGTGCTGGTTGACTCCTCTCCCACTGCCCTGTGTCGGTCACTCTTTCTGGCCACTCTGACCAGCTGGGTCCAGCAGGCAGGGAGGACATCATGAACTGAGCCGGTGAGTGAGAGAGGACTCTCAGTACCTCGCTCTCTGTCTTTTCGTTCCCTCTGGCTCCAAGAAATGGGCCTGGGGGTGTTTATTGTGTCCTGTGAGTTTGTGGAGGCTGAAAAGGATCAGCTGGGCCAAGTGAAGTGAGGCCTGCTCGGACTGAGAGAAAGAAGAGGCCTGAGTGTGTTTCACGGAAGGGAAGATGACGGCCGCCACCCAAAGCAGATGGAAACAAGCAGTGGGTACTGGCGAAGGCACCTCACCGGGAGTTTTTGCAAGGCCTGGGTTCAAATCCAGACTGTCACTTAAGAGCTTGACCTGGAGTTGGACACAGCTTCTGAGGCTGAGATGGGATTTCTCCCTGCCTCCCGCTAATACAGGAAAAGGGTGAGGCAGGGGCAAGATGAAAAGTGCTGGGCTGAGTCAGCGGGCAGAGCGAGGGTGGCCCGGGAGTGGGGAGATGAGGAAGGCAAAGGGGGGAGTCCGTGAGGAGCAGCGGCTTCAGGGTGGGGAGGCTGGGCGCTCACTGCCGGGCTGAGTAACCCTGTCCGTGATGAGGTCCGGGCAGTCCTCATTGGCACCCACGTGCCACCGCTAGCCCCGAATCTGGGCAGGTGGCTATCTTCCAGCCATCATCTCCTGCTGTGACAGCTCCCATCCCTCCATCTATATGGGACCATTCAGCTTCTTAGACATCGATGCCAGGGAGCAAAATGTCAAAACCAGGGCCCCAGCAAACAGGGAAGCTGTCAGTCTTCCCTACATGGCCCTGTGCCATGATAGCTGCACAGTAGAACCCATAGGAGCCCGGGGCCTGCAGTGTCTTTCCCGGACAAGCTCTAGTCAAAGGAGTATTGGCCCTGAAGTTGGGAGGACCTGAGTTCAAATCTGGCCTCAAACCAAACACTTAACACTTACTAGCTGTGTGACCCTGGGCAAGTCACTTAACCCCAACTGCCTTAAAAAGTAAGTAAATAAAAACCAAAGGAGCACATGGGCAAGTGAGCTGGTCCTCAATGGCCGACAGCCTCTGCCATGGGAGCAGGAGGGGTCAGCGGCTGCTCCAGGTGAGGCTCTCTCATTCCTCCCAACACCCTGGCCTCTCCACCCACTCTGTTCAAAACTGGAGCTTGGCTCCTAGCTTGGCATCGAGGAGGGTCTTCAGAGGCAGGCGGCTGCCCCTGCCAGGACTGGGTCCAGGTGGCCTCTGCCCCTTCAGCCATCACTCTCCTTCTGAGACTCGGATCATTCCACCCAGATGTCCTGGGGCCCCAGGTTCCCCCTCCTCTCATCTCCAGAATGGCAGTGTCTGGTCTCCGTCTTCCTTACAATGGGCGAGTCCAATCCACACGAGGATGGATGTCCCCTGGCATTTCTAGGAAGCACTATTATGATCCCCATCTTACAGATGAGGAAACTGGTTGGGTGGTTCAGTGACTTGTCCAGGGTCACCTAGCTAGGTAAGTGTATGAGGGTGGATTTGAACTCGAGTCTTCTTGACTCCAGGCCTGGCATTCTGTGCACTGTGTTACCTAGGTATCTTAAAAATCATCCATAGTGGGGGGCGGCTAGGTGGTGCAGTGGATAGAGCTCCAGTCTTGGAGTCAGGAGGACCTGAGTTCAAATCCAGCCTCAGACACTTGACACTTAAAAGCTGTGTGACCCTGCACAAGTCACTTAACCCCACTGCCTAGCAAAAAAAAAAACAAAAAAAAACCCAAACCCAAAACAAAAATCATCGGTAGGGGAAGAAATGCACACTCCCAAGTCTAGCACTTAGCCACAGTCTGGCTCCTCCCTCGCACTCTGACCTTACTTCATGCCTCGTCACAGAACATACTACATCCAACCAGACCTGTGTCCTGGTCATACCCTGAGCCCGATGTCCCATCTCCCGTCTCCCTGCACTGGACCCGATCCACCACTGAGGTCCCTGATCCGCACGTCATGATTCTTGCCATCCAGGAATCCCAGAGACCCAAGGGACTATGGCCAAGGAGAAGGTGGTCACCCGAAGTAGAATTCACACCAGAAAGCAGTGAGAAAAGACTGAAAACCTCCACAATTTAACGAAAACGTAGAACCACAAAATGAAAGCCGGGGGGCATCTCCTGCAGAGCGGGAGTCGGGCCAGCCAAGCCACCCTGCCCCCATGCTCTTGACAATAAGCAGGGGGCATTACAAACACCCAGAGGGGCCTTTTTCAAGGACACGCGCAGACACACCCTACCTCCGGTATTCTAGGCCCTAAGAAAAACAAAGCTGGAAGGAAACAGAAATATGTGAATCAAGGCATACGGCCCCACGGACATCTGAAAAGACTGGATTACACACAGCCGGGTCAGATAAACTTGTGAAGGGTGGCTGACGCAGCGCTCAGAGCCCAATTTCTATTAATCTCAGAAAACTCCCTGGGGACCTCACCCAAATGTATGTTCTTTAAGGTAAAAAACTCAGAAGGGAAGAATGATCAAAGAGAGGGAAGGTGCCAAATGGGACGATCCCCAAAGCCACAGGAAAGAAGAATGTCCCCTTCTCAGCCCAGAGCCCCTGGCCCGCCAGACTCCAGGAAATCTGTCCCAAACAGGAAGCATCAACAACCTTCATGCTCCACGATGTGTGGACACGAATGGCCTGCTCCCAGGCCCTGTGAGGAAGCCCCGGCCCCATGGGCTGCCCCAGTGTGGAAGCTTCCACCCTCGAACACCCACCACCATTTTGGGAAGGCATCCGCTCTTCTGCCTTTCCTCCTTTCCCCCAAGATCACCCCAGAAAAGCCACCACGCCTCACCCTTCACACCCAGAGAACCCCGAACCCAAAACACAGCTGATCAAGAACAGGGCTAGACGCCACCCAGATCCACACAAATGAGACGGGCCACCCAACCTAGCTGCCCACCATCGGGCCCAAACTGCTCCTGCCATCTTGACCACAAGAACTGCATTCGAGGCGCCATCTGCTGGTGACCACTAACGCGCTTGGGGCAATGGACAAAGCATGTTCTCTGTGGTCCCCTGATGGGATGAAGGCGAGTGTGCCCTCACAGCAGCTCCAGGAGCCCTTACCAGACCAGCCCCCCCCAACATGTATCTGGGGCACGCGGCCCAGTGGGCACTTCCTCCAAGAGCTCCTGGGAGGTGCTGGGGCAGAGGACAAAGCAGAGGGGTCTCCTAGACGGGCCCAAAGCCAGGCCGGGAGCCTCTCTGATGTTCACCACAAGGAGGGCGAGGTTTCCTCAACAAGTCCTGCGCAGAGGGGCTGAGGCCCATGCCCACAGAACCCCGCAAGTCCTGAGCTGTGCTGAGCTCCATCATCTGGGGAGAGCCGAGGGAGGGACTCCCAAGTCCTCTCACAGACGGCCACCCTCCAGCCACTGACCGGTGTCCCTTTCACGGAGGAGCACGCAAAAACGGAAGACGCTCACACCTCTACACAGGGGGTCAATATATAACTTTATTTTTAACAAAGCAATTAAATCCCATCATAAAATAAGGAAACCGAATGGGGGAGTGGGAGTTGTAAAAATAAATACAAATGAATAAAAATACTTTGATTCTGAAAAAGTTTTTCAATTCCAAAGCCACCTTCGACTTTATCGGCTCCTCCCGACAGGGCCTCTGCACCCCGAGGCTCAGCTGCCCTCACGCCTCCCACACCCTGTGCTGACCACCCAGTGTGGAGGCGCTTGCAAGCACCACTCGTCGGGCACCGTGCTGCCCCTCTCCCCACCCCTACTCGTTCACTTCAACCCTCCAACATTCCTCCAACATTCCCGTCTGGAAAACAGAGAACAGGGTCTCCAATGGGCCAGTTCTGACCCTTCAATGGCATCTGATCCCATAAAACTGGGGGAGGGGTTTCAGTGAAGCTCCCTGGGACATGAAGCTGAAGGGAAGAACAAAAATAAGGTGAATGCAAATCTCTTTCTTGTGTTTAAAAAATAGAAATTCCTACTTCAACGTTGCCTGCTAAAAGCAGACCCAAGCAGCTGCCTCTGCAGGTGATGGAGCTGTTATTGCTTAGATTAGATTCTCTCTCTCAGCTCTGGCTCCAGACTCCAGTGTCCACACAGGACACTGAGGCGGTCAAGATCCCAGGAAGCAACAGGAGCCCCAGGCTGCCGGGGCCTTCCCTCCCCACTACCTTGCCTCGGAGGGAGGCTTCAGAGCGGTTTGGCTCGTCCCAGGTACACGAGGCTTCCGGAAGCCTTCCGAGTCTGCAGGCCCAGGGACTCCGCCAGGATTCGTGGCCAGGAACTCACGGCCGACCGCAGCAGAGATCGGAGTCTGTGAGAAACGTTGCCCAGACACCTCTTGGTCTTAAAGAGGGACTGATGAAGATTTTTCCTAATTAATCCACTCCACACACCCCACAGCACCCCCCCACCCCAGGTGCTGACCCACATGATAGGAAAGGCCACTGCCAAAAACATTCTGGGTTTGACAGCAATGCACACCTGAAAAGATCATTCCACTAGATGATAAGAAAAACATGTATTTGTCAAATTGTAAGGACAGAATGTGATCGCAGCAGGTGTTCCCCACGTGGCACACACGTCAACACACATCAATGGGCCTGGAGTCTGCTTCCGCCACCAGCCCTTCCTTCCAGTTCCTATCTGCCGCTGACAGCCCGGCCTCTCGCCAGCCCCTCGCCATCAGGACGGGGCAGTGCCCGGGTGGCCCAGATGCCCGACCCTTCCATCCGAGGAATGCTCTTTAGCACAGAATCCGCCACCCCTCCAATGGAAGGAGCGTCGAGGGGCCGAGCACGGGGACAAGAGGGGACGCTGCGGGGGAACCGCTGATGATGGGGGTGGGGGGGGGTAGAGAGACAAGGAAGGCCGGGGAGGGAGGGTGCGTCCTAGAGCCCCAGGGACTTCTGAACGATCTGCTTGGCAATGCGATAAAACTGTTCTCGGTCGTCCCGCCACATCTTGGAAGCATCCACGTTAGCGCCACTCTCATCATTTGGCTCTGAAAGAGAAGGACAAAGGCAGGGAAGCTTTCCGGCTGCCTCCCAGAAGGGGGTCCCTCGAGCGGGCACAGAACAGGGGAGGGGGAGCCCCTCCAAATAACGACACAGCCAGGCCCTGTGAGCGCCAGAGGCATTCCAGAAACACAGGACAGGGGCCTTGCTTTCAGCATGATTAAGCGTTCGTTAGGGAACTTCCCCATCTGCAGGCACCTCCACACCAGTGGGGAGGAGGTCTGTTCCCCAGGGACACCTGGTCTCCCTTGGGCTCACGGGCAGCCCTAGGCGGAAGCTTTTTTACTGGACACCCCACCCCAGGGCTCTCTCTCTGGCTGGCATCCCCGGTGCCCAGAACGCCTCCACCTCCCAGAGAACTCGCCGGCTCCCTGCCAGTCTCAGTCACAAGAAGCCTTGCCTGCCCCTGAATTCGAATCACATCGTAAACTGCCAATGGGTCCTGTGTCTATCTCATCAGTAGATGGGCCCATTTGGTGTCTCCCCCATCAGCCTGGGGCTCCTTGAGTTGGCCTGCATCTGCGTTTTTAAGCACTGGCTCTCCAGAGCTTGGGACAGAGCCTGGCACACAGTAGGCACTTTGCCTTGGTGTGAAGCAGCCACCGTGGAGCCTTTGCCCACCCCCCTCCAGATGCCAACGCAGGAGCTTCGGGAAGCCTTGGCAAGAACCCTTGGGAGTCTTTCCTGAGAGTCTCTCCCTGTGTGTGCTGCTATCATGCAGGGCTGCTCCCTCACAGGAGGCCCAGGATCCCACCAGCTCCTCGGGGCTCTGGTGAGCTGGCAGCTGCCCTCCTCCGCAGCCTCGGCGCAGGCCGCTGGGTCCACGCCACCTCCCCTTGCCAGCGCGCCCACATCTCTGGCCCACAGTGGGGGACCCTGCTCACCTGCCAACATGCTCACCACTGACAGGAGGATCTTTTCCACGCTCTGCACCGGACTCCAGCGCTCAGCGCTGCTCTCGTAGCCCATGGGGTCGTCTCCGGGAGCATGCAGGATGGAGATGCAAACCCTTCCGTCAGGGTAAACTGTAAACAGACCCACACACAGGTGACGTGACACACGGCAGGATGAGAGCCGGCGCCCCGGGGCCAGAAACCAGCTGCTGTTTGCACAGCTGTGGCCAACTCTCGGCATGTCCCCAAACTCACGCCCATCCGAAAGGCGGCTGGGGGGGGCTGGCGCAGGCCCAGGGAGCGTGCCTCCCCTCCCCCCAGCCCAGTGTCTCGCCTGAAAGGGTCCCAGTAGGTGACTCATGGAAGGAATCATAGCCAGAAATGCTGCCGTGCCCAGGAGCCCAAGGAGATGAGTTCCTCGGGACCTTCCCTGACCAATGCAGGAGGCCGCCCATCGGGCCCAGCCAGAGCAGCCTCCCCAATGCCCAAGACCTCTCCAGACAGTTAAAAGTCTCTAATGTCTTTACGGCAACAGCTCAAGGGACTCAGCTTCCTCAGTGAAGCCCACTCGGACAGATTTCCTCCCCAAAACCCCCAGGAGCCAAGAATGCCAGACCACAGGCCTGGAGTCCACGCTGCAGGGAGGTCTGGCAAATCTGACAGTCATGCCCACTCATTCTGCCTCCAGCAACCCCGATCCTGAAGTGAGGGGAGGCCTGGAAGTCCTGGATGCGAATCCTGTCTCTGACTCTCACTGGCTGTGTGATGCTCACCAAGTTGCTTCCGGCCTTGGGTCCCAACCTACTCTTCTGTAAAATGGGACTAATGCTACCAGGAACCTCAGAGGAGGCGACTCGGAAGCACTGTATGAACACTAGCTATTAGTATTATCACTGATTAGTATCATTACAGACATCACACACAGAAGTGGGGGCCAAGGAGGCCATTCCTTCCTCCAGGGCTCCCCAGGGCAGCCCTTCGGCACCCCGAAAGCGCTGCTTTCTATAAGTTACAGCTATGAATATTTACTGTATTAGAAACAGAAATGCTTTAAAAATATTTATTAATTCATTTAAAAACAGCAATAAGAAATCCATTACATGTTAACAGAAATCCCGTTTTTATGTGAAATGATGCTGTCTCCCAAAACAAAGATTAGTGAGAAGAGTGCCAACTGCGTTCTCTGTTTTTGCATCTTTTCAAGCATTTAGGGTTAGCGTTAGGATTGTTACTGGGTGAAGCAGAGGAAGAAAATGCGTCCCCCGCATAGAGCTGAAGGTGGAAGAGGGAGGGGTCTTTTAATAAGTAAATGACATCTTAGCCTTCGCATGAATACGGTCCACAGGCTGGGCAGGAAGAAGGAGGGCGCTGTTTATGAAAGGCAGCGTATTCCCATGAGGAAATCCGGGAAGCAAAAGTAAGAAGTCACTCGGGTGACCATCACAGCTGTCATCGCAGCAGCCTGGAGCCGTTCTGACCGCTAAGAAGGCAGCGATGGGCAGCCGCTCAGGACACGGCCAGCTGCTGGCTGGCCCTCTCTGCTCCCACCTACGTAGCTCCTCAGCTACTCATGCTGTGCTCTGTACCAATGCTTCCACCCTTCCCGGGGGGCCTGGGGGAAGCGGCCACCCCATCCCATCCTAGGGCTGGCGACTGAAGGAGCGCCGACCCAGATTTCTGAGAAGCAGGTTTCCAAGAGTTCAAAGAGAAGACCTGCAGGGCTCTGCGCTCTCTGATTCTCCAACGGCAGCTCTGGAGAGAATGGAGAAACTGCTGCTGAGAAACAGGTCTGGGGGCCAGGGACCCCGATGGAGACGCGCAGGCAAGTCACCCACAGCTCAGCCTTAGGAAAGGGCTCCATAGTGGAAGACGGTGGAAGGAAGGATGAGGAAGGGGCCGCCACGGCATGAGGAGAGCTGAGGACAGGCGCTGGGGGCTCAGTGGGCCCCACCCCAGGCACAGCAGCCCTCCTTTGAGGGCTGGAGGAGCACAGGCGCAAACGTCTCCAGTCCTGCTGAGCAGACCAGGCACCAGACGAGGGGACGACGGGCCTGCCTTCAGGCCATCGTCTGCCTCCCCGTACCTCCCCGATGAAGCTAGTTATGAAGTGAGACAGATCCAGAGAGGGCTCCCTGACGCTCAGCACCGTCTCGGAAGGTCTCCAAAGCCGCAACGAGCCAGACCCCACCCGACGGTGAGGCCGACGCTGGCAGAGGGAGTGAGGACACAGAAAGATCCTGTCGAGAAGGCCGGGCTGAGGCTGCTGAGACAGATGCGCTCGAAAGAGGCCGAAGGAATGGGGAAGGGCAAGAGTGCACGTTCAGATCGTTCTTGTCTGTGCCAGGTGGGCAAGCATGGTGATTAGTCCTATTTTACAGATGAGGAAACAGGGGCAAACAGTGATTAAGTGACCTAGTAATTGTCCAAGGATGGATTGGAACTCAGGTCTTCCTGATTCCAGACCCAGTGGTCTGTATGAAAGCTAGATCTCTGGGTCTGAGTGGGCCACAAGCTCAGCAGTATGCTGTGGCAGCCAAGAAATCTAAGATCTGGAGCAGCCGGAAAAGAACCACAACGGACAGGACCGGGCCATGCTCAGCGCAGGCCTCCGAGGGGATTCAGGGGCCTCAAGTGCACAAGGGAGGCATCCGCCGAAGGAAGCGAGACATTTGGCCCGAAGATAAGACCTGAGAGGACTCACACGCATGTGCACACGCACGCACACACATGCATAAGCATATACACACACATGCACGCACACGATGGCAGGACTGTCACACAGATTCTCTGTGCCCCCATGAACAAGGACCGGGGAACTGAGAGGCGGAGTCAGGGGGCGCCCACAGCCACCTGTGTGTAAGGATTCCGTGGCCTCTGAGCTCCCCCCCAGAGGGATCTAGGACTCCTGATTCCTGACACTGTGTGCACATGACCGTGTATCTCTGTGCTTAGGCGGGTGCTATGTGCACCTGTGGATTTCAAGGCTGGTGAGCTGCTGGCCCCATCAATGGCAGGTTCCCTTGGGGTCAACACCTCTCCTTGAGAACATGGCGGCCATGATCCTGCAGGAAGTGCTGGCCTCAGCGTTGGGGAAACAGGAGAGGAAGCCTATGCCCCACCCCCTCGGGGCCCAGACGGCCTTCCCGCCATAACTAAGACGGAGTGACTGAGCTGGCCCCGACTGCAGCCGGACACCTGGTCACTGCCCACTGTGACCTGGGGAGAAGGACACCACGAAAGGGGTGAGCCAAACTGCAAACCGTCCCCCTCTGCTGTGCTAGCTTCTGGCCTTTCACTGGTCTGAGGAAAGACCTCCCACGCCCTCAGACGGCTCGTCAGGGCTTTCAGCAGACACCTTCCCCTTGGAGAACGTACGCCAGTGTGCACTGGAGCTTCACGACACCAGGATGATTACTATAAAAGACCGCATTCTACACAAAAACTGGGACACTCATGCACTGTCGGTGGAGTTGTGAACTGATCCAACCCAACCATTCTGGGGAGCAATTTGGAACAAAGCCCCAAAAAGTCTAAAATGATGCACACCCTTTGGCCAGCAACACCACTACTAGGTCCACGTTCCAAAGAGAGCAAAGGAAAAGGACTTATGTGTATAACAATACTGACAACAGCAGCTCACACTACGGTGGCAAAGAACTGGAAATGGAGGGATGGCATCCCCTGGGGAGTTGCTGAACAAGGTGTGGTACAGGATTGGGATGGAGTACTACTGTTCCATAAGAAATGACAAGCAGGCGGATTTCAGAAAGGCTTACATGAACTGATGCAAAGTGAAATGCGCAGAACCAGGAGAACACTGTACACAGCAACATTGTTACAATGACCAACTTTGATAGACTTGGCTCTTTTCAGCAACGCAAGGATCTAAGACAATTCCAAAAGACTCGTGATGGAAAATGCTGTCCACATTCAGAGAAGGAACTGTGGAGTCTGAATGCAGACTTTGCTAAACTTTATGTTTCTTGCTTTCTAATTTTTTTTGCAACATGGAAATAGGTTTTGCATGATTTCACATGCAGAATCGATATACTGTTTGCCTTCTCAGTAGGAGAGGGGCTGGAGGGAGACTGAGCATCTGGAACTCAAAATTGGAAAACGAAGCTGAAAATAAATAATGAGGGCTTTTTTTAAAAGGGGGGGCACTGTTCCACATATATTTTCTGTTTAGTAAGCCCAGGCATCACCTCCGTTTCCACAAAGAGTAAGCAGTGATTCTAGAACAGCAGAAATTCAAACTTTCTCTGTGGTGCAAGGCTCTGGCCACTCTCAAGGACCCCCGTGTCCAGGACCCCACGACCACACTTGTTACAGGCAGCTCTTCCTAGCCCCCAGAACTCTTGGCCCCATCCCCCACATAAACAGCAAATTCACTTACTGTTCGGGTGGAACATCTCACAGGTGAACCTCATCTTCGGGGGGCTGAGCGGATAGTCCAGGGGAAAGCTCAGAATTGCAGGAAAAACACCAAACTCGAAACAGGTGTCTTCTGGGCCCCTGCAGAAAAGGGATCCAGCTGAGTGGGTGCCCGGGCTCAGGCGGGGTGACCTAGAAGGGCGAGCTCTCCTAAGCAGCGCTCTGCTCCCTCCCTCCACCCCCGACCCTGACAAGCTCCCAAGTAAATGCGAATTTTGGAAACAGCCACAAGAGTCTTATGCCAAGGAGGCCAAGGAAGAGTCCAGTGGGGCTCCTGAGAGCTCTGCTGGGGCAGAGGCAGGGAAAGAAGGCTCCTGCTCCCTTGGCCCCCCACCCACCAAACCTCCCCAATCTCTGCTCCAGTCCCACAGCCATCCCGGGCAGCATCCCAGTCTGGGGCGTGTCACCACCTCGTCAACTCCCGCGGCCACCCCCCTCACTTTGAGAGCCTCCAGGCCAGACACGGAGCCAAGCCCCCCCATCCACTCAGCTGCCGAGCTCCCCTCCAAAGCACAAGCATGTCCAGGGGCTCCTCAAGCCCAAGGTTGGCACAGTTCCAGCCTGCCCTCAGACCTCTCGCCTCGGCCTCTTAGTCAATCAACACGTGCTTCAGCTCAGTGCTGCCTCCTCCAGGAAGCCATCCCTAATCCCCTTAGCCCGCAGCGCTGGCTTGGTGTGCTTAGCAGTCTGAGCATAATCCCCTCAACCCCAGTAGCATGCCAATTACTTGAGGGCAGGGACTTTCCACTGTACTTTTCTATCCTTGCACACAGAAGGTACCTAATAAATACTTAGTAAGGCACTGAGCCAAGCCCTTGAGATTCAAATACGACCAAGCCAGAGAGTCCTCACCCTCAACCAGGGGAAGCCTGGGAATGAGGGAAGCATCCCCCGGCGTGGGACGGCGATGTCCCAGGCAACCTTGGGCGAATTCCAAAGCCCCCCACCATCCTGGCAAATGTTGACCCAGGCCAGCACAAGAGGCCAGGTACATATGGGCAAGCCAGAACTCGTAAGCTGGACTCCATCATCGGAGCCCAAAAAACGTGGGTAATTAAAAAGAACGGCCTGGCGCAGCTAGGTGGCGCAGTGGATAGAGCACCAGCCCTGAAGTCAGGAGGGCCCGAGTTCAAATTCAGCCTCAGACCAAACACTTGACACTTACTAGCTGCGTGACCTTGGGTAAGTCACTTAACCCCAACTGCCTTAAAAAAAAGTGGCCTGTCTACAGCTCCATTTACCCACTCTGAACTTCTTCAGGCAAAGATCAAAACTGGCCCATAAGCCCCCTCTCCTGTGAACGTCTGGAGGACCAACCAACAAGAGGAAAGTGAGGATTGCCCTGATGAAGGAAGGAGAGGTGGCTGCCCAGGGCACCCAGGAACTTCCAGGGGACAAAGGCTCCTGCCTGGGCCTCCAAACCACAACAGGATATCCTCCTGACTCACAGCCGGCCTCCCTCCAGGACCTCTGCTCACAAAGAACTCAACCCCAATGGGATCCCCCTTTGGGACACCTCTGAATGTCAGCAAGCCTGCCCCACCACCCTTCCCCCACTTCCCCAGTGGAGCCAATCCTCCTCCACTGCTCCTGGCCACCAGCCTCGTCAGACTCCTCCCAAAGCTCCAGCCCCAGCCACTCAGGGCCCAGAGGAGGGTGGCCCATTCTCGGTGCCCCACTCCAGTTTCCACACTCTAATCCTCTAGCCTTGTAGGCATCACCTGGCGACCTCTGTGGACATTCTCCCCACTAGCTCACACCCCATCATAGGTCCTGCCACAGTCCACAAAACCTCTCAAACTCACGTTAAGGAGCATCTCAGAAACCTGGAATCTCCATTTCTTGGCCTCCAGCCAGGGATACACAGCCCCAGACCCAACAGTGCCCAGGAATTACAGCCCTAACAAGTCTGTAGCTCCAAAGGATCCCAGTTTCAGAAGCAGCCCACACCCATGACATGCCAGACGAGTGGTCACTGGGCCTCTGCCAAATGACCTCCCGACGAGGCCCAGGCTCTCACTGCCAGGAAACCTAAACCTGCCACGTCAAACTGAGGGTGCCAGACCTGGCCACAGGGACCCTGTGGAACCCACCGAGTATCTTCCCTGACAGTCCTTCCAATAGGTCAGGTGCCCCACAGGGGTCCCTCGTCTCCATCCACCTTCTGCATGTGACTGCCCCAGACGCCTGGGACAGGGCAAGAGCCATGACTCTTAGGCCTCAAAGAGAGCCAAGAAAGAGGAAAAGGCCCCAAGGGCCAAAAAATAGCAGCAGCAGCGCATCCTAGGCCAAGATCCAGGCGCTCTTTGTGAAGAGAGGTTGCTTTTGCCTTTCTTTGTCTTCTCAGCATTTAGCACTGTGTCCAGCGCACAGTAAGGACCTGACCAAGACTAAGGGCGCCTTCGACGGAGGGAGGGGAGGGTGTGGCTAAACTAATGTGACAGAATACACCGGGCTCTCAGAGAAGGCAGGGGGTGGCTACAGAGGAACCAGGGAAGAGCTGAAGCTGAGGAGGACAGAATCGGGAGCAGCCACGTTCACTGACAGAGGTGACGGAGCCGAGGGCAGAAAGAGCTCCAGAATTCTGAACACAGGCAACGGGAGGAATCTGCTTTGCCTGACGGTGCATTTGTTACTAGGGAAGGAAAGGGGGGATGGCAGATACAGAGGGGAGGCCTGAACCCAGCTAGTGGCGGTACAAGTAAGAGGAGGAGATGGGAGAGATGCGGCTGCTGGATGACTACGTGGGGTGCAGAGTCCAGAATAAAGCCAAGGATGGAGGGGGGCAGGGTAATGATCTGGGGCCTGTTGCATTTGAGATGTCTGCAGGATGGAAGACGTCCGAGAGGGAGCATCACCATGAAAGAGAAGAGGGCCCGGGCCAGAGTCTGGGGCATGACCAGCGTGAGCCAGCAAAGGCAGCTGAGAACAGACGGGCAGAACCTGGGAATTCCAGAGGGATGGCACCCGTCCATCCCCGGCTGTCCTCCCGTCTCTCCTCCGTCCGTCAATCATCTCCAGCGGATCCTTGTTTCCACACGGTTGTTTGTGCCTTGGCTGCCATACCAGATTGGGCGCTGGTTCTATTTGTTTGACCTTTCTTTGCCCAGTGCCTGGCACACAGCAGGTGCTTAACTGATGTCTGTTGACCGACTGCCCCACTGACCATCAAGTCTGGACATTAAGAAGTCTCTGGCAGCTTTGGAGAGGACAATTTCAGTTGGGCTATGAAGGGGTCAGAGGCCTTGGAGACAGTGGGGGGCAGCTGGAGGGGCCAGCAGGCACCAGGAAAGGATTCTTAGGGGCTTGTCTACAGGCAGCAAGGAGATAAGTATAAGCTCTGTTTGACGCGTGTGAGTAGGAGCAGAAGGGGCCAAGGGTCCCCCTGGGAGTGTCAGGCTCAGAGCGGTAAGTTCAGAAAAGGGAATGTGAGTGCGGGAAGGAGGGGCGGCTTCTGGGTGGGACAGAGCCCAGCCCCCATGGGTCCCCCTGAGATGCTCCGCACCACTGCCCTGAAGCCAGAGGATGCCGTCTGAGATGCCCCAGCCAGGTCTGGAGGCTCCCATCCCGCTGAGGCCTTCTCAGTGTCCGAGCATCTTCTGCGTTTGCCAGCCCAGGCTCTCCCCTGAAACCAGCCAGTTTAAGGAACAGCCTCCCCTAGCAATAAGTCCAAGGAAAGGGCCCCCCCCCCACAAAGCTGAGTCCATTCACTGGCCAATGGCCAACAACAATGAGAGGCACGGATGGTGTCTGAATGGGCCGAAAGGAACAACAAAGAAGCCTTCAGAGAGCAGGCCAGCTGGCCTGGAAGAGCCCTAACCCACAGGAACCCCAAGGGAACAACGCACAGAAACTTCAGGACTCTGACCGACAGGGAGCAGGCCCGAGCAGCCTGGGCAGGAAGGCGGGGGCGAGGGCAGTGTCTATCGCATCCCCCCACCCCTTCACTGGTCACAAAGGAGGGCTCGACATGGGGCCCGGGGAGGGGGGGAGTCAGCGAGAGGAGCCAAAGTCATGAAGGGCAAAAAAGCGGCACACGGATGACTGGTGAACCCTTGACGCTCGGGCCATTGTCTGGGACGGGGGAGGAGTCACAGCTCGCGACCAGCAGCCACCACTGTGGGCCAGGACACGGCCAGGATGCCCCCGGGAGCCGCCAGCTCGGGTCACTGATCCCATTCCTCTGGAGTCCTCTTGGTGACATCTGGGCAGTGTGGGCCCGGAGCACAAGACCTGGAGCCAGGAAGACCCGAGTTCAAATCTAGCCTCCGACACTGACCATCTGCCTTGATACCCTCAACTGGAAATGCAAATAATGAGCCCCACTTCCCGGTGCTGGTGGGGGGATCCACCACGTACTCCTGCCCTGCCCACTGACTTCTTCAGTGATCTCTTAGGTGGTCCTGAGGCACCAGCCTGGAAGTGACAGACATAAGATGCAGTCCCAGCCCCGGGGGCCACGAAGCCTCCTGGGGCCGGGAAGCCTCGGGCCCCTAGACTGGCAGCCACCCGCCCGCCGTGTTTCTAACGGTGTCTGGGCGGTGTTTTTGGAGGGGCTCCCAGAGGGCGCCGGGGCCCCGCAGAATTCGCCTGATGCTTTTATAACAGGCCTTTGTGTTTCCAAACAGGAGTTTCTTTTTCCTCAAACACCAAGTAGATCCGCCACAACTCCAGAAAATGATCAAACACCGCCTGAACTGTTCTAACACACGGTTTATTATACCCTGCCCACAGAAAAATGTTGACAGGTTACTGCTTTGGGGGCCTCCTGTTTCTTCTTCAGCTGCCAAAATGCTCTGGTGCCCAAAGGAGGCTCCCAGGTAAGCCCCACGTATGCAGCAGCATGCCCGCAGGTGCGCTGGCAAGAGTGCACACCAGCTCCAACACCCAGGGCAGGCATCTCTCCCTAAAGGAGAACTCATCCCAGAGTCTTCAAACTGAGGAATAAAAGTAAGGCAGTCCTGAAGAACCCCTCCAAGGAAGACCCCGCACATCATCCCAATGGGGGACACAGACAGCCAGTCGTCAGCCCCCCAGGCCGGCTTACAAAGTTCCCTGCCATCCCAGACTCCCCAGGCCCA